ACTCACATGATTACGAGGCTGCTGAGGCACTAGCTGCTAGACGGGAGAAGGATAGGGAACTCGTAAGCTGTGGCACATTATCCTACGTTGATCCTTTGTGATGCATTCAGGCTGCAAAGCTCGAGGCGGAGGGTAAGTATTAGGGCGAGTGCCTAGAGAGGAATCACTTATTGTAAACAGCTAGGCTATGGCCTTGCTCCAGTGGACTCAATCTCTCATTGGGATATTTAATCTATATGACATTGTTGAGTTATCTGGGATAGTGGATTCATTGAGTGCTGTTAGTATAAACAAGTGGCGAAGTCGATGCATTCCACAGGGAGTTAATGCTATTCAACCACATACATACCAGTACATGCTTTTACCATCACTTCATACCTGATCCTAATGCACACACTGCCATCCCTGTTAACCCTATCCTAGATAGTAAACCATCAGGTAAAGGTATATTATAGGGTATAGCAATTGAGGAGCCTGCAGTGCAGATATCGGTAAAGCGGCTAGTCTGCACAGTCATACAGCAACCCATAAGATAGAAGCTAATGAGCATGCAGCCTTGATGCACCAACAAGTCCTCAAGGCATTACATGGTATACATCATCATTGATTTCCTTAGTGCTTAGTCACTGGATCAGGTACAGCTGATTGGGATCTATCAAGGCTTATCAAGCACACTACCTTCCTACATGCATTGACTCGTCATCTTGTGCTCCAGACTGGTACTACTCATATGCATACCACACTCGCGCCTCCTTCTACCACACCTCAGCGCATAATCCGGATATCAGCCCATCAGCTGTATCAGTAGACAACTTGGCCGCTCGAGCCGAGGCATCGGCCAGAGCCGCAGCCTACAGGTTCTACTTGGACTCATCTAAACTCAGCAATGTCCCCATCAGGTGGCACATGCCCTTCAGTGACACCCCTCCCTACCTTCCTATACTCGAGGCATAATCCGCTGCTCATAGTAGTATTATGGATCTATGCTTGTTCGACAGCGATGTCCTATGCGTTCGTTTGGTTATCAACAGCGAGACTCTCATCATAGCCATTATATGGAATTAAGCGTATTCGAGTGACCTCTAGAGCCATGGGAAGCTGATCGTCGTCTTGCAGCACTCATGGTTGAAGCTGCTTCTCATTGCATATCTATGTAAGATGACAGTATCGTTGTGGAAGTTATGGTATCGAGTTCGTACTGTCACTGTATGTATCTAGTATTCATTCACACTCCTTAATGATTATATGTACCGATCATATGATATAAGGCTGAATAGGGATCCCAACGATGACGATGATCTTCCAAGTAGTATACGTTGTACCACTCTACCTTACCACAACTTGCTCCACAGTTACCCTTGAGGACCATGCTGATGCTGGTGGCATTGGAGGGAATCAAGCCCAAGCTGTTGAATCTGAATATGTCCGTTATCACTCATAACCACCATATGAATATCTCCTGCACTCTATCAGGAATCAGGACGGACCTCTGATGAAGAGGACGAAGAAGATATTACCTGGATAGAATGGTTTTGTAATACTCAAGGCAACGAGTGAGTACATACACAACACAATGGTATAGAGCCCTTGCTATTGTTAGATACTTCATTGAAGTTGATGAAGACTATATAAGGGATTCGTTTAACCTCACCGGTCTACGCGATATTGTGCCTTACTATGATATAGCACTCAATACGATACTAGATCTAGGTTGGCAGTCTACACCAATAGCTGCTTGTAGTAGTGGCCCTGTCCTATCCACAGACGAGAGGAGCTACGTTGGTCGAGCGAATGATAGCAGGTCTTCAACAATCGAGAATTCGGCCAAACTTCTCTATGGTTTGATACAGGCTAGGTAAGGTACTATATCCACCTATACTCGATGTAACTATCAGGTTCCTGATTACCAATAGAGGTCTTGAAGCTCTACATGATAAGTACACAGCATCAGCTTACGGCATATGCCCTAATGCAGACTGCGAAGCTGCTAGACAGGCGGTAGGTAACAGGATAAGAGCCTTACTCTCATGTATGCCTCTCAGGTGTTGCCTATAGGACGTGATCAGCCATACGTCTCTACAGTGAAGGTATATTGCCCACGATGCAATGAGATATACCATCCTCCATCTCAGCAGGCTAAGTAATAGCAATTGATCACTTCTTCTACGCCTCATGTCCCTCTACAGATTGGCCTCTTTTGATGGTGCATTCTTCGGTAGTTCGGCGGCGCATATGTTCATTATGATGTATCCCCACTTCCAGCCTTCGACCGCTGCCCGACCATATGAACCAACGTAATAACCAACACTCACATCACCGACTTCACGGGATTGCCTTTGATCCTCCCAGGGTCTACGGTTTCAAAGTACATTACTCTGTGCGGGATATGATCAGACAGTTGTATGCAGAAAGGCAGCAACGACTCCGTGAAGGGCATGCAGGATTGTCCTTGTCGGCAGCGGCGGCGGCGGCGGCAGGCGCACATCAGTGATGACCATTATGAGATGTCCAAGTCTTCAAGACTCATCTCTCCCACGTTCATTACTCATTAGCCTCCTGTATTTGGTTCGTCAAGCTGGTCCGAGCTTGTGAGCTATGAAGTTATCCTTACCATCGACATGAGCAGCAACCTCTTCCTATCATTAAACACACGGCTGCAGGAGAAGGCCAAGCAACTCCGTGAATCCTACATCGCAGAGGATCTACACCAGTTCGTATCTCAACTCACTACTGATACCAAGGATTACAGGCAACAGGTATAGATGACGATGCTGATGATGATAGAGTGCCTTATTGTTATCCACACTCACCTCAGTTGACGAGGAAGCTTGAAGAGATCGGTGGGGCTAACCATTCTACCTCCTCCGTCGATGGCACCTCAAACGAGACCGTCGACGTTCTCAGTACCAATGAGAGATTTGAATGGTGGGCCACGTCGTTACTGCTCGTAATGCTATTAATGAGTCTCTGTATCCCAACAGCCTCCCCGATGATACTAAAGAGCGCATCAGAATGCTCGTACGGAGTGAAGTAACGTATACGGAGGATGTAGAGGGATGCAAAGTTGTTGATGAAGAAGAGTGCAATCGGGTGGCATCCGAGTGGAAGAATGATGAGGCAGTATCGAAGATGCATCAAAAGCTAGGTATACTATGTGGTTATGGGAGTAGGCCATCAGTGACCCTCTTCGCAGTCGACCAAGGCGATATTGCCAACGATAAGTTCTGGAAAAGGTTTGCGGCCAACCTACATCGTGAACTCAATACGATTGGTCACACCTCGGATCAGAGG